ATATTTTTGAAAAATAGAAGTATTTTTTTTGGTAAGAGTTCTGCATCTCCAGGTAAGTGCTAGTCTTTACGTTGCTTTAAGCCCAGTGGGTTTGTGAAGCTTATTGCCTGAAGCTTGGAATGTGCTTCTCGTCTCACTAAGGAATGCAGAGATAGTCATGGGTATTACTTTACATTTTCAGTTGATATAAAACTTCATTTGAAATCCAGCATTAAATATGGGTCAGACAACAGGATGTGCAGCATGTTCCTTTCTTTCTGTCTGTCTCAACTGTCAAGAGAGATGGGAGAAACTGCTGGTCCAGCTAGTATGAAAGTTCATATTGAATACGGACTATCTGCATGTTACTAAAAAGGCATGAATATGGAGGTGAAAAGTCTTACATGTCATTAATGTGAGATCCCAAGTGACCTTCTGTCAGAGATTTATGGGCAAAATATTAGTAAAACTGTAGAAATTTCAATGGCAAAACTTTGCTGCCTCAGTTTAGGAGGAAAAAACTAACAGGCACCTGCTTCTGAATGAAAATCAGACCATGAAAAATGATATCTCATGTTACATAATGCTGAAGTTTTGGATCTTACCAATGCTTGAGCCAGGATTAAAATTTTTCCCATGACCTTCTTTTGTATACACAGTCTTCCTGTCCAGCAGTAATTACAGAACTAGAACAATTATGTAAATGCATCTTGTCCATTTGAGGAGTTTCTGCAAAGCAAAATGTATAATTCTTTTAAAAGTACATTCCCCCAATTGTTTCATGCAACTGATATTTTAAAGAATATTTTCTGTTCTTTACTTGTACCTGAAAAATGCTGTGTTTGAGATAATGTGTAATCCCCTTAGCACTACTTTAAATGGTAGAGGAGTCTCTCTCTTTCCCGGAGTCGTCTGCAGTTTTGATTATGGCATCATTAGTCCTCTAAGTATTCTACTCATGCTGTGCCAGTAAATTGAATGTCTTTGTTTCAGACACTTGGCACACCAGCATGAAACCTAGATCCCAGATTCTCAGAACTATGCTACAAATATTGTTTTTGAAACTATTTAAAGGCAAGCATTTCTTTGCAAGTTTTGGTCATCAGTCTACAGTGCCTTTTTAATGACTCTTGACAGCAAATCTCTATAATGTTGGTTTTGCCAATCATGCGTTACGTGAAAGCCAACTTAAGAATCCAGCTAATATGCTTTGACTACTGCATTCAGGCTTGAATCTCAAAACTACTTAAGCAGTTTTAATTGTTTTGATTTTGTTTTGTTTTAGTAGAGTGAGATTTCTGAATCATTTTGTAATCTTCGGAGTTTTTCACTCCAGGATACAGCTTATATATATATTTACACGAATAATTACACGAATTTACTATACTAATTTATTTTACACTGCAGTTGTACCTCTTTCAGGAGGTTGACAGCTGCAGTCTCAGCAGTGTGTTTTCCACCTATAAGGTTTGAATGAGGAGGAGAATCTTTCAACAGTCACGTTTAGGAGCAAATTGCCCCTGTACTGGGGGGTCTGTCTGCTGCATTCAATGTGTCTTGTGTCTTCCATAACCTTCTTCAGTAAATAAATGTCAGGGTTTGAGTAAGGTGAACGTGAAATTATTCGTGGAGAGGGTGGGGAGGCACTGGAACAGGTTGCCCAGAGAAGCTGTGGATGCCCCATCCCTGGAAGTGTCCAAGGCCAGGCTGGATGAGGCTTGGAGCAACCTGGTCTCGTGGAAGGTGTCCCTGCCCATGGCAGGGGGGTTGGAACTGGATGGGCTTTAAGGTCCCTTCCAACCCTAACCATTTTATGGTGTCAGACTGTTCTCAAAGGTCCATGGTGATAGGACAGGAAGCCACAGACCTCACAACAGGGGAAAACCTGATTAGGTGCAAGAGAAAAAGAGTAAAAAATGTGCAGCTGTAACTTTAGAAATTCATTTTGACAAGTTTCTGGATCACAAGTTTAACTGTGGTTATCTACAATTATGGTATGATTCTTTCTGTGAGCAGTGGGGGTGCTTCATCTCTTACTGTCTTTAAAACAGTCTGACAATAGTTGTAGGAAAAAAATTGTTCCCAAGAAGCTTAAATTTCTGGCAGAGACACTTGCCTACTTTGTTTTTGACTGTCATTGCTCAGAAACTGGTGTACATATACAAAGAACGTACGTAGAATTTACATATATGACATATCTCTCTGTGGGAAAACAATCTGAAAAAACCATGATAATTTGTCTGTCCTCTTAATGGAGTCATGTTGTTGCCTGGTTGCTGATGTTGTCTGAACAGCGGTTAAGAAATGATACAGTATAGATTTTCATAATGCCATATTAATTCTGTTTTCTGCCATTTACCTTTTTTTGAGTGTTCTTTTAGTACTTCTCTATCCATCAGCTAGCTATTTTTCCCTTTTAAGATTTTGCTGTTGAAGGAAACATGGTCTGATCATTGGCTATGAGCAGTGTATCTTTTTCTTGCTAGGTCATTCCGGCCTGATTTTGTCCTTGTTCGACAACATTCATTCAGCATGGCAGAAAACGAAGATTTCCGTAACTTGATTATTGGAATGCAGTACGCAGGCATCCCCAGCGTCAACTCCCTAGAGTCAATCTATAACTTCTGTGACAAGCCGTGGGTGGTAAGTGATGAACCGAGAAGTTCTTTGGAGCAAAACCAGTTGGTGACCCTTTTTGTTGTTGTTGTTTGCTTGTTTAGTTCCCGTTCATGAATATTGAGTATCAAACTGCAAAGTTACTTAGCAGAGCAGTGAAGCCACAGTGAAAGCAATACAAAGTAAACTAAGATATTTAAATAGCTTTTTCAAAGAGCCAGTGTAGGCAGCGTGGAGAGAGAAAGAAAAAAATATTTGTAGTACAAATAATGAAATAAGTGAGGGGACTAACGGAAAGCCTATCCACTGCTAACATACTTCCTCAAGTGAGGAAAGTGTGTTTATTCACAATTTGTCTGGGAAAAGCAAACTGAGAATATTTTTCATATTTGTGGTTTTGAACATAATTTAAACAGACTTTTAGCCGGTGTTCTCCTCATGCCTGTGAAATTTTTGAGGCTGGGCTTTAGCAAGGAAATCTGAAGCTATTAGTGTCCTCATTTGAAAGCTCTTTTCATAATCCTGTGCATATGGATTATGCACAGCAGTTAGGCTTTTCAGTTACACCTAGAGCAATGAGGTACACCGGAGAATCACTCGTATTTCCTGGTTCTAGCAAAGAAGCCAGTTCAGGTTTTCATTACATGCTTTGTAGTGATGGAGGTAGGATTTGGTGATCTCTTTGGTTCATAGCCGACTAAACTTCAGTAGCAATGAGTTAAAATGTGATGGTGTAAAAGATGATTATCAATGGTGCAGTCACTCTTAATAGAGGTATTCACTTGCCCAAGACCTAATGAAACTTTAAAGAATACCACTTGTTACAAACAGCCAAAGCTTCATAACTTTTTCCGCTGATTTCTGGGTAAGTAAATAACAGTTGTCTGTATTTTTCATACCGAAGGAAAGTTTCACATTCATACTTTCTATTGTCTTGAAGATACTTATTTTTTTCACACTAACTATGAAAATCCCTCCAAAAATTGTCAGCAGGTTTTAAATATAGACCTCTTTCAGCCAATTTTATCATACTGTTGTGTTGCAGTAATCTACAGTAGGGAATAAATAATTGATAGAGCATTTATAACTTCTCTAAGTACATATCATACATTGCTGAATCCATTATGTTAATACATCACATTTTGTATGCTGTATGGCATTTCTTCAGGCCTTGATTCACTGTATGCAATAAAGCTGGGTGATGAAGCAATAACAGTAGCATTTATATGCTGTAATGATGCAATAAAAAGTAAATGAATAATTTCTCCTTGTAATATTCTTCTGGTGGCATTAGTGTCATGGCTGTTCCTGCACCAAACCAATAAAGATATCTCTTCCTTACAACTGGCCTTGTTGCACATAGAATATCTCTGCTGATTTGTTCATGTTTATAATAATGAGTAGGAATAACTGGGAGTTGTAGGAATATTTATTAACTGGAAGACAAGGCAAAAGCAAATACAAGGTAATACATGTAAAATAATTAGCACGTTCTTCATCTTTTTTGGTGTCATTGTTCTATACAGCATACCTCACAGACAAATAATATAGTTGTAGGCTCATAAGGGCTTACTTGGTTTAGAGTTATAATAATTTTTTAATAGTCTTAGAATCACAGAATCACAGAATGGTTTGGGTTGGAAGGGACCTTAAAGATCATCCAGTTCCAACCCCCCTGCCATGGGCAGGGACACCTTCCACTAGACCAGGGTGCTCAAAGCCTCATCCAGCCTGGCCTTGGACACTTCCAGGGACGGGGCATCCACAACATCTCTGGGCAACCTGTTCCAGTGCCTCACCACCCTCTCTGGGAAGAATTTCTTCCTGATATCTAATCTAAACCTCCCCACTTTCAATTTGTACCCGTTACCCCTTGTCCTATCACTACAGGCTCTTGTAAAAAGTCCTCTCCCAGTACCCTTGTAGGCCTCCTTCAGATACTGGAAAACTGCAATGAGGTCTCCTCGGAACCTTCTCTTCTCCAGGCTGAACAAGCCCAGTTCTCGCAGCCTTTCATCATAGGAGAGGTGCTCCAGCCCTCTGAGCATCTTCGTGGCCTCCTCTGGACTCGCTCCAAGTGGTCAATATCCTTCTGATGCTGAGGGCTCCACAGCTGGACGCAGCACTCCAGGTGGGGTCTCACCAGAGCAGAGTAGAGGGGCAGAATCACCTTGTCTTGTATTATGGCAGAACCTATTTAAGGTGTGACATAACAGTTCATGATGAAATGGCTGTCTTCTGAATTGCTATGTCTGTATCTTTGCTTTTTGCAAAAATTCCCTCTTTGGCGGAGATTTCTGTAGTTTGTCTCAGCCTAGGTATGACATGAAAATATTTTTAAGCTGATCTTCTTTTATTTTAACATTTGAACATTTTCTTTGAGACTTTTCTACTTAGCCAGTTTTACATCCGACAACCAAGTATGTTTTGTTTTAAATACTCAAATTAGCACAGCCTCAGCAAGACACCATTTCACATCTCTTGGGTATTTGCTCTCAGAAATAATTATTCTAGAGACATTTTAAAGTGTCAAGCAGGTCACGTGCTTCGAACTAGCATCTTTCATGTTTTTTCTGTAGTTCTCTGAAGTGGTTTTCTTCAAGGTGCATAATAGAGAGAGCAGGGCCTGAACGTGCGCCCCCACTGCGAGCCCATGGGCAGTGAGGCTGAGCAGTTAACGTTCACGTGTTGCACACGTGATTGTGCTTTGCTCCACCAATGGCCTCCATTCTGTCTTTTAATGACCTATGACCATGACCGAAGCCTGCAAATGTGTGCTTGGTTCCCATTCAGAATATGTGGTGGCACTGGACGTGACTGGGATCCTACTTAGGAATGCAGGCTTTTAATTTGAGCACAAAAACAGTGTCTGTACAAATACGAGGGAGCTTGTTTGGGATTTTAACTTGGAACATCCTGACTTCTGTTCTTTGTGGCAGTGGGAGATGTAGAGACAACCATGGTAATCCCAGAGCATCGTGGAATCTTCATCAGACTTAGGAAGGGTAAACACTGCAAGAAGTCGTGCAAACCTCTTTCAACCCCAGCCCAGAATACACTCTGAGGGTAAAAATCCATTGATCTTTTGAGTCAGCCAACTTCATGGGCGTTCAAATAATGCAGCAGAATCCAGGGACTGTTGGTTTTGCTAATATTATCTTTTAGCTTGTTCGATTGCCCCTAATACATACGTGTGAACTCCCTGCTGCAGGCTGTAGGCTAGTTTTGGGTGCCTTAGGGTGCACTCCTCAATCCCTTGCTGCATGCTAGCCTTAAGCATAGAAACCATACTGTGCTCCTAGATGTTCTTTCGACCAGTGAATCAAGCAGTTAAGATGTTAAGATGACACATATTTAAGCTGAACTGATGCAAACTTAATTAAATTGTAACTAGATAAAAAACTAGCAGAATTATTCTGCAAGTTCCTTGTTCAGAAACTAGCTCAACATTTACAGCACTGATTAAAGGCATAGAACCACCTGCCAGTCTCATCTCTTATATACCAAACTTTGTGATTTGGTGAAACTGAAGTTCTACATTTGCAATGAAGACCATTTTCTAATTTAAATTCCTATCTTTTTCATCATGGCTTATATTCAGATTATATTTTATATTACTTGTAGCCTTAACATCCATGTGAAAGGAAAAGTAGTTTCCACTTCACACACCTATGTATCTTTTTATCAGGTGCATCCTACTGTCTGGATGAATCCCAGAAGGCATATTCCGCAGTCGTGAGTGTCCGTGTCAGTTTTGCAGCAGTGCACGGAAGCAAGCCTGCGCTTAGAGTTACCATCGATTACACCTTCTTCTTCATAGCATGGACTGGGTGTCTTTCTGGACAACTCCTTTGTAAAACGTGGATGACCTGATACTTTTATGAAAAATATTTCTATAAAAATTGCATATTCAAAAGCCTTATGAAAAATTAGAAATCAGACCTCTAGATAAAGCCATAAGTAACAATCTTTATTAAATGATGAGAAATAGGTTGAGTTTCTTGCAGGTATAAATTCGAGTGGCAGAAGTGAATTGCACTTCCTGTAACAGCAGGAAAGAAGAGAGTGTCCAATGGAATAGGCCTTGAAGGGATGAAAAATTGTTGAATTAGTTATGAGCAATTGATCTTACTTACATCAGTGTACAATCAGGAGTAGTGTGGAATTGCTAGGAGAGGAAGTCAGGGAAGTTAAAATGAGAGTTAAAATCCAACATACAAGGTCTTTGTTAAATAACTGTTCTTCAGAGTATCAGGTCTTTGCCTTTTTGGAACAGACAGCTCCAAATGCCCAGCATCTCTTCAACCCTGAGGACAGACTCATACCCTGCATTAGAAGCTGAAGCACCTGCCTTTAATTTTTCAGCAGAACTCTCTTCGCACTGTCTGTGGACGCACATGGGTTTCCAGCTCTTTGCCAGTCGACAGCAGATTTGTATTTGATCTGAGAGGTGTATCACTGAAAGATGGGGGTGTGGCGGGAAGGTTGGCAGGATCATACTAAAACCATTTCTGAAAACAAGCCTCAAAGTTTGTGTTTTCTAGTGTCAGGACACGCACAGTTCCTTTGAATGCGTGTCAGAAGTTCAAAGTACCCTTTGAAAAGTTAGGGTGCTAGCAACCATGGCAAAGAAAATACTGGAATGAATGTGTGTGGTGAGATGTTTGCATACTGAAATATGTTAATGATTTGGGTTTGTTACAGTGCTGTTATTTCACTTCTGTGATAATAGTTACCACCTACCTCATAAAAAATTCATGATCCTGGCTTGTGAGGTGGATTTCAGCGAAATGCTGCTAAGAATGTCAGACAGCTGCTTTCCTAGGGGGAAAGCATGGCTTTTATACATCACGACCAAGTTCTTCGTTAGTGGGTGCATGCAGAGCTGCGGAGGAGCCGTTTTAGGGCTCATACCCTCTCACCACGTTGCAGTGTTTCTGTGCATCGTCGTGTTGCAAAGTAATAGTCTTGTGCATGACATCCCATTCAAAAAGATAAAAGATTTACCCGGTTTCTTTTACAGTTAC